TGATGCTGACAGAGACATAAGACCTTCATTTTGTGAAAGTAGACATTTCAAAGTACTCGAATCCGTTAAAAGCCCAATTTCGATCTAAGACTAAAAAATGACGTCATTTGATCATGGCCTTCCCCCGCATCATGCCTTAAATTAAATTAACATTTTATAGTTTTGCTCATAATTGTTGCTTGAAAGTTGTGATTTTAAACTTTTTCTCTCTTTATGTGATATATCAGAATAGATAACGGAAAGGGTTAGGTCTGAGGGTCTTAGAGGGTAGTGCCAATAGAATGTTTGAGAAAAAGTAGGAAAAAGCTGGCCAGGAAGATTTCAACGAAGTTTATATTTTTTACCTCTAGAGGTTTCCCTGCATTCTGTAGTAATGGGGGTAGAACACAGGCTGAGGATTTCAGCCTTGTAATTATATGGTTCTTTTTCTCCAGGACAGAACTCATCCCCCACCCTCTTGGACTAATATTTATAAATGAAATATAAACGTATAGACGTACATGGTATGTATTTATGCTTAGATACAAGGTGACTTGTGAATGCTTTATCGGAAGTCAAAGTGAGCTGCTTTTTTATCCTATACCTTCCTTTTTCTTTTACAAGTAATTATTTTCAAACTGCTTGTTCTTCTCTGTGGCGTACCTAAATCTATGGAAGCCTGGTGTTTTTAATGACATTATTCAACATTCTAAAAGTTTTTAAATATATTTCTGTTTTCTGCATGTTTCAGAAGTCACGCTCCCGGGAAAAGAAAATATTCTGGAATTTAACTGACTCGAAAAATTGAACTTCTGGCAACTGTTGTGTGGTAGCAGTATTTGATATCCTTTCAAGTGGACTGTGATTGTTTGTACATCCCTGCTGGTCTTTTCTATACCAAGCCTTAATGGGTCAAGTAATTCGCAGGTAAGCCAACAGTCTGTGTTCCCATGATTATTGTTCTAAGATGGATTTCTTCAATTTCATAGAGTTACAGTTTCAGAAAAATAAATCTTGGAAGGATAGAAAAAGGAAAACATTTAGGGGAATTTCAGATAGCCTAGCGATATATGGAAGATTGGTATTTGATGTTATGGACTAAGAACGATAAGAATAAAAATTTACGGCCTGAGTTTTTCATTTACCTCTCGGAGGAAATGGTGCTATGAAGTGCTTAAAATGTGACACATGTACATATTTTCCTATGACGCTTGCTAAGGATTTTGATTCAAGCAAGGAGTCTGCTGGCTGTTTGTGGTATTGATTGCACATGCTTTTGAAATGTTTAGTTAAAATTCAAATTTTAAATTAAAAAAAAAAACCCACCGTGTTGGTACAGTTGTTAAAATAGTGAAACCAGTTTTTTCTCTCCCTTGAGAAAAATGTTGCTCTCTCGGCTTAATACTTTTGAACAGCCTGCTGACGATATATTTCTTGTCAGGTGTTTTGAACCAGTCGAGAAAATAGGTTTTGTAATTTTTTCCTGTTCACAATCAACAATGGCTGCTCATTTGTTTCCCCTCCTGTCCACATAGCCCAGCCTTCCTGGATGTGTTTTCTTTTGTGTATTATAATGGAAGTAAAAGTAAATTCTGGGGGCTCATAAATACTGGCCATAACATTCTTTCTCTCACTAGAAATGATAACAAGGCTGCAGTTTAACATCAGTGAATTATTTTTATTAAGCCCTAAATTGAATTTTGATTTGGTAATTGTTCACTGATCAGTTTTGGCGGGGCTGAGCAGTAATTTTAACGGAAGTTCACAGTGTACAACAGCCCCCCCGCTTAAAAAATCCAGGCTTTCTGCCGTGGTGAATGAGCTTTAGTGATTATCTCCAGGATTAGCACTTTTGTTACACTTTAGTTTATATTGTGATTTGCTAGTACAGTAGTCTCGGCCTAAGATCCCACCGCTTACGGTCCCGGTTCGCTTAAGATCCCGCTGTTTTAAGAAAACAGAATTTTTACTATACGAAAGTCACCCCTAAGATCCTGCTCTGATTCACTCTGAAGGTCTACATTCGGCTAAGATCCCGCTTTTCAGATCATAATTTGCAGAACAAAACCCGGGCGGGACAGCCGATCAAACAAGAGTGAAAAGTTGAGATCAATAAACTGTCTGTCGCGTCAAAGATCAGCCACTATCGTGAATGTGATCACACACACGTTCTAAAACTCAATGAAGCGATACAATGTTTGCCCCAGACCGGATCAGACCGGGGTGTGAAATGACCGACACCTTTGTTTTCCCCACGCATCGCACTCACACCTGAGCTCTCCCCCTAAACTTACATCACTCGCTGGGTGGGTAGGGCCTACACATTCGCTCCAGGCGGGATCACATTGAACTGTGAACTTTTCCCTGACCATTGCAGAAGTTGTCTCTACTCCCGAATTTGCGAGACAGACTGAATTTCAATTGGTGTGTTCACAACGTAATGGCGTGTAACGACAAAGGCGGTTTGGGGGGGGGAGGGCTCGGTCAGAGATGGAAAGCTATACATTTTTGACAGGTAAGGGGGAGGGGCAACTGGATACGCGTAGATCTTGAGACTCATGATAGGATAAAAAGTGAAAATGGCACGCCTCATCCCACTATGCACTGTGATAGTTCACCAAGGTTAACGGTCATGTCAGTTCATTTTAGAGTGGAGGGAGACTATTGTACCTATTGTGAGCCTTAGCATGGGTCACCATAGATTTTTCCCTGGGTTCGTCGGTTAAGATCCCGGTTCGCCTAAGATCCCGCATTTCCTTGCTCCCGAGCACTGGGATCTTAGACGGAGACTACTGTACCACACTTGCTTCCGTATTCATGTTTAGCAAAGCAAAGTAATATATTGTTGTAACTAAAAATATTTTTTTTAACTTTAGAAGGATATTAGGCCGTGCAAGCACATAATGTCTTTTTTTTTTCTTCCTCAGGTTGCAGGATATTGGGATTCGCCCACAAGATTATTTGGGGTTTCCCCTAGCAGACTTGGGAGGCTGGGATGACCAACCCAGGTTTCCTGCAGCTCCCTTTGGGCACAGGGAGGAGGAGGAGGATGAGAGGGACCCGAACATGTCATCTGGATTCCCTGACTTATCGCAGTTGCCCCCTGAACTAGGTAATCTTATACTGGGACATCCAACAGGGATTTTAGCTGTAACATAGGAGGAGTGTTGATGATGGTATACTTTATTATGTCTCAGAGGTGCTGATTTTCCTGGTTTTTATACGCATGTTTGAAATTGTCAGGATTTTGCCCGACTTAAGACTGATGGTCATGAAGTTGTTGGGAACTTTGTGTAATTGTTTTCTTATGTGTTGTATTGTATTCCTGCTTATTCATTTCTTAAAATTAAAAAGTGAAACAAAGAGGGAAGAAACCAGGAGATTCTATTTCTTTGTTTGTTGTGTGACTGTTTATTAGTGTTTGCACATACGTTTCTGTTATTGATTGAACAGGTTATTTTGTGGTTTTCGCTTGCCTGACGCTAATGTGCCCTTAATCTCCAGTGTAAATCAAATAATCAATAATAAATAATGGATTGCATTTATATAGCGCATATCCACTTATGCAATGCTCTATGCGCTTAACATGATACATATTATGGATTTACAAATCAATTTTAAAGGTACATAGTGTTACATACTCATGCAAACACATATTCACTCACGCACTCACCACACACACATACATACACACATACACACATACGTACATATGCACATACGCACATACAAACTCACAACGATCTACGGCTTGGATGCATTCTGTCTAATGGAAATATGATGAAAATAGAAATGATTTTAGTTTCTTCTTAAAAATTTCTAGATTTTCTGCTTCTCTGATAGTTTTTGGAAGCCTATTCCAAACAAGTGGGGCAAAATATGAAAAAGAGCGTTGGCCATATGATTTGTAATTTATTTTAGGCTTAACAAGGGTTGTTTTGTCACTTGATGATCTGAGCGTTCTAGGAGGCACATAGGGTGTTAAAAGCTATTTTAGATAGTCCGGTGATAAATCATTTAAGCACTTGTAATTGTTCAATAGAACGTTTGTTTCATTTTCTTTTTATGTGTTGCTTTATGTACATGATCTGAGTATGGCATTTTGTATTAAGTTAATTTATGTTCTGGTAATTTCTCTTGATCTGACTTAAATGACATCTTTTTCCATAATGAGGATGTGTTCAGACTGTGAATCTTTGACCTAAATTTGCAAGATTTATCGAAAGGGCTCTACTTTAAATGAATGAATTATTGTAATGGTGGTTTTGAAGAATCCTCGTAGGCTTGCTTACCACCTAGCCTACTCGTCTGTCTCTAACGGAATTGGGTTGCCAGAACCTTGAATAATTGTGTATGAAACATTTAGTGTCAATGTATCGTGCTCTCATGTTTCCAGGGCTGGAGGTGTTGAGACATCTGGACGCCACGGACCTGTGCCTAGCCTCCTGTGTGTGGTCACATCTGGCAAATGATGAGCTGCTGTGGCAAAGGTCAGTTGCAAAATTGTAGTACACTTATATTATGGTGAGTAGCCTGTGTCCCGTCCCCCCCCCCCCCCCCCCCCCCCCCACATCCTCCTTTCTCCTCCCCATTGCCACCGCCATCATTGAAATTTAGAAAGGCAATGCCCCAGTCTTGATGGAACATTGGGGATGCGAGATGTTAGTTATAGGTGATTGCTCACAGTAGGAGTGGAGTATTAAATTTGTATCTTCTCTTTGCAAACACCTAGTAGGCTACAACATTTTTATTCTTTTGTTGATATCTATACATATGAGTTTCAGTTAAATGGTGTTTGGTTCAGAACGACAGCTGTTCTATACAAACTTCAAGCCTGATAATGGCTAGAGAAATACCATGTGGATGAAGAAATGGGGAATTATATCTGTTTTTCGACACTGAAAGTTTGAAATCTGTTTCTGGACAGCATTATCTTCTCTTTAAGAGGTTAAGAGAATCGTCCACCAATTCTTTAATGATTAGCTGATGGTTGGAGATCAATAGGTAGTGTGTCAAAGGTATATGCGAAAGGTAAAAGAATAATGCTTGAAGGTCCCAAGCGAAGCCATAAGTAGGTCCAGCCAACTAAGCTTATATGTTGAGGGAGAAAAGCAAATCATTGTATGAAAAGGAAAAATGCAGGGAGTTGTGGCCTTTGATATCAATACAAGTTACTTTCTATTATTGCCTTTATTTTACTCTCTTTCTTCGAACGTCAGCTTGGCTCGATGTTGTGTCCTTGGGAAAGGCACTTTACACGAATTTGATGTTGTGTCCTTGGGAAAGGCACTTTACACGAATTTCCCATTTGGCTCAGTCCTTTTGGAGATGGATGTTAAACTCGGAGGTCCCGCCTCTTAAATGACCTGATAGGGTTGATAGGGAAGGGAAGTTAAGCCTATACCAGTTCAGTTACTCTCCTTCAAAGTTTGTAACTTCTCATCTTCATTGGATGGTAAAGGTAATCATCAATTCATTACAGGCAAACTTTTGTTATTATTGGAATGGATGTGACGAATATTGCAGGGGATGAAGTGTATGTCCTCTTTTCGCTGTATTGTACTTCAGATAAGTCTTGTGTCTAGTTATGATTGGTGTGGTTGAGTGCTTGCAAACCTGGGATTTGTGGATGGTTGGCGGGTGCTCTGGTGTGGTTCGTTTCTTCTTTCCTATCTAACATCTATCTTCTTTTTCTCCCTCCTTCTTTTTTGTGTTTGTTACTCTCTTGTAACACCTCTAATATTCGGCACCTATTGTGTTGCAAGTGCCATAAAACGCTTACTAAAAAGAACCCCCTAAAAACCTGGCCATTATTGCTCATTAGTGGGCGAAATGGTAATTTTGCAGGTAGTTACAGGTATTATCAAATGCCTCGCTTCAAAATACGTACAGAAGGGTGTTATCATAATTTAAGTTTTTTTAAAGGTGGAGAAAGTGGGCGCTGGCTATAAAACATTTGACAAGCTCTGTTGATGGCTTGGTTTTTCTCCTTGTTTTAGTTTGTGCCGCAGCTGTTGGGGAAGTGTGACCATCTACAGCCGGGGCCGACCAGAAGACTTCACCTACAAGCAGCTGTTCATGGCACTGGACGAGGCTTCTCTCACATTCAACACCGACCCCTTCCAGGTGGGCCGTTAGGCTTATTTAGCGCTCAACGTTATATATGTGTGTGGTCCCAGTTGTTTGGCAAAGTTATTTTTGAGCAGCGGGTTGAAAAGGCCAAAAATTTCGAATCTAGTAAAAAATTTAGTTCCATCTGAAAATACTCGATTAACGATTCCTCAATAAGGTATTGAAAGGCTTTTATATCTTAATTATAAATATTCTTTTATTATTTATTTTTGCATTATGTTGTACTTCACCAAAGGTAAAAAATGTGCTAGAAATTTGGTCAACATACTAAGGTTAAAGCTATTTTTCTCCAAACTTTATTTTTACACTGTGTTACAAAATGTGGCATATCATTAAAACCAGTCAAGTTATTTGAAATATTTAAAATCAGTGTGTTCAGCATTGGCTTTGCTATAAGAATCTGGCTTTATTTTTATTGCCAAAATTTACGATAACTTTACTTTCTCTGGGCTCACACACATTTTTCCTGGGCCAGAAAGTAGGTTTCATTTCATCGGCAAACTGTTCAACTGTTTAAAAGTAAATATTAACAAAATACCTCTGGAGCACATGCAACCGATACTGCAGATTAAGAAACTGCTATAAAAACTTTAAAATAATTTTGAGCTTAGTACATCTGAACATCTGGTCAACCATTTGTGTATCTTGGGTTAGCCTTTTATTAGTGAGCCCCCAACATACCTCCTCTCATTGGCTGACGGAATCTTTAGTTTTTGAGTTTGTAATCAATGTTTCAGTGACTTTTTAAAAAACAATACCCCCCCCCCCCCCCATTCTTTTGACCTGAAAAAAAAAAGACGTAGGCTTGCAACTGTCTTGAATTTCTCAGGAGTGTCCCTGGTTTGACAATGAAGAATTTGAAAGGACATCTTAGTCTACCACAGGAAAACCAGTTCCACTCGATGTAATTTTTTTCTTTCTTAAGTACTCTGATGTTATAATTATTATAATGTTGGGTGTTCCTGATTCCTGATTGGAATTAGATAAAGTTGGCAAGCCTGAGGATGTTATGTATGTCTCGTGATGGACTAAGACATTATATTGTAGTGAAAAGGCTGACCAAAGGAGGCTTTTTAAAAAAGTTGTGGACCCCATCTATTGGAGAGTCATATGGCAGTAGATAAGACATTAAATAAGATGGGAGTGTCAAGTTCCTGTGCTCAGAAATTGCGAGGTGATTATAATTTTCCCCCATCTTTCCTTAATTTTTAACTGCAGTGGCAATTTTTAATCCAGTCTTTGAGTAGAAATAACTGTTGATCATGTAGCGTTCTTTGAATAAACTATTGAACATTTTCATACACATTTGCATGTTATATTTAGCTGTTGTTTACAATGTTTTAATTGTGATCTTGTCTTTGGTGGTAGAGGGTTTGGTGGTCTTAAAAGGGCTTTTCATACCTTCTATTCCTCCTCAGGGCATTGAATATCTAACATCGAGAGGGATTTTAGGTGATCAGCCTATAGAAATTGCCCGGTTCCTTCATACCACGAAACGATTGTGGCCAAACAAGAAACTGGAATTTTTACAGCGCAGGTGAGAGAGAGGTGGAGAAAGGTGGAGAGAGAGGCAGAGAGAGGCAGAGAGAGGTGGAGAGAGAGGCAGAGAGAGGCAGAGAGAGAGAGAGAGAGAGAGAGAGAGAGAGAGAGAGAGAGAGAGAGAGATTGCTTTCTTTAACAGAGCTTGCTGAAGTCAAATCAGAGTAACTGGTTTTTAAAAAATGGCCCAGCTAGTGGGATCAAGGATCGCTAGCCCTATGGGCAAGCAGTGGTCAAAACTTCACACCTCTCAATTGCTATCCTGTCTGATAATGACCTGCGTCAGTTTTACTTATCCAATTACCACCAGTGCTTGCCTTTCATAGGACCACTGTTTGACCTATTAAAAACAGAAATGTTTGAACATCTGCTTTGATTCCAACCTCAGCCCCACCCCTAATGCCACCCCTCACTGCCATCATGTAACAACGATTCGAGGAACTCTTTTTCTCTGCTGGCTGTACGGTCAGGGTGGCAGGCATTGGTCAATCTAATTTCACACCTCTGGCTTTTGGCTTCCCAGGAAAGTTTCCGTAGTGGCTCGCTACTTGAGCACTTTCACGGGCTTTCGTGAAATTTCACACCCACACTACACTGACCATCTGTATCGCTCAGGGCTCACATGATGAGGTAACATCTACCCCCAAATTGCACTCCTACTCCTCTTTCTCGCCCAGCGGCATAACCATAGCGTTAAGTTTTATTTCAAATCAGGGTTGAGTGGGCAAAGCATTTTCCATCTTATTCAGGTGAAACCCTTTGAAGGTAGCTGATTTTTCTTTCCGTTTCCGCACTGGACAGGTTTCCGTTTTATACAGGTGATTAAAGAGGAATATATTAAGGTGGGAGCGAGGAGATTCCGTTTAAACAGGTTTCCGTTTTATTCAGGTTTCCGTTAAGGCAGGTTCGACTGTAGTTTGTGACACAGCATGACTATTGGAGACCATTGCCTTTGTAGAAGTAGGTTTTGATTTATCTCCCTTGTATTAATATATACAGTCGAACCTGCCCTGACGGCCGCCTCTATAAGACGGCCACCTGTACAAACAGCCACTTTCCATTTTCCCCCTTGCGTTTTTTCTATATAATTTAACTGTTTAAAACGGGCACCTGTCCAACGCGGCCGCGGCCACCATATTTTAACACACAACCCCTATCACACTAAGCAATAACACCTGTCTTAGACGGCCACCTTAGTGACTCCATTACGTTTTGTCATTAATTGTGCATTGACCACTGGCGTTGTGGGCGAGCCGTCATAATCGTAATTGTTAGGTAGTCCCTCCAACCGATCATGTTGTGTAGGCCCCTCCCACTGTTGACCAATAGGTACCAATTTCCAGCTGCTGGTGAGGGAAGAGTGTTATCCCTCATAACCCTTAAGCCCCGCCCAGAACTCATACACAATCGTAAGTGAGATGAGTGGTCACTGTTTACCCAGTCTGTAACAAAGTAACAATGGACGTCAACATGGACTTGTACAGAAGCGTCGCTCGTTCTTCGAGTGGTGGCGACCCATATGTTTGTTTTACCATAGCACTCGGTCCTCCTTGTCTGACACATTTCGTTTTATTGCCACCCTTGCACAAAATCAGCAAAAAAATAAAAATAACAAACAAAATACAAACCGCCAACAACAACAAAAACAACAATAACGCGGCTACTTTCGTTTGGGAAAGGGGTTTGTTTTCTTCATCTTGATCAGTCCTGCCTAATACGGCCACTTTTCTCCTTGACAATGGGTGGCCGTCTTACACAGGTTTGACTAGTTTGCAGGTTTTTACTGATGAATTAATTTTGATGTCTTGCTTTTTTTCACACAATTTGCAAAATTAAAAAAAACAACTCACAAAAATATGCTGATAGGTGGGCCTACTGAAAATTGGACGGACAGAAATTGGTGAGCACATCTTTTTCGTTTGACTCTGCTCCAAAAGATAGCAATATTAAATCTAGTTCTCAGGAAGTGCTTTCTAGTGATATACACTATCTACATAATTGTAAAAAATTTAAAGCACCAAATTTTTCTGAAGGATTACACGGTCTGCTAAACCCTCCCCAGGCAAGATGTGCTTGAGCGGCTGGTTCAACTGCAGAATTTCCAGAACCAGTTTCTTCCCAACGCTCTTCGTAAATTTTTCAAGGAAGTCTCGGCCCCTCAGGAGCGTGGGAACACACTCACCATCATGCTGGAGAACTTCTCTCAACGATTCTGTGCCTGCAACCCAGGGCTTGGTCTTAGCAAAGGTTTGGCCACTATAATTCTTTGCCAGTTTTTTTTTTTAGGGATGTTTGTGTGAATCTTTTTTTTTTAGGGGTGGGTGGAGGGTGCCACTTGTTGTTGGTCCTATTTCTTTGATGTCTGTCTGTCTGTCTGTCTGTCTTTCTGTCTGTCTGTCTGTCTTTCTGTCTGTCTGTCTGTCTGTCTGTCTGTCTGGCTGGCTGGCCGGCCGGCCTTTCCCCTAACTTGATGACCGTTACTATGTCTGTGTGCTTCTCAGTACACCTCCTTTGGGTTTTTGCCTTTTTTCAAGATATGCTATCAGTCTGCAATGTTTGGGTGGTTGTATGTGCACATTCTGGTGTGGTCTGCCCCATGTGTTTCTTTTCTGTGTGATAACTGTCCTAATATGTTCCAGCCGAATTGTGGCTGTTACTCTGCCGATTTATTTGTACGCTGTATGTTGTCACAAATAAGGCTTATGAACAAAGCAATGTAGTGCTTAGTGTGAATCGTGAAAATTGGAAGAGAAATATTTCAGGACCGGATACTGTTCTACAACAGATAACTTATTACCATAAGATGCTCTAAACAAACCAAATGTATTGATCAAAGTTTGTTCAGATTGTTTCTTTGAAAGTGAGAACTAGGCTAGATCTCTTGGGTCAGTAAAAAGTTTTGCAATGTTCAGTATGGATGCCAGGTGTTTACAATAGACGCATTGACTATGATCACATTTTACAATTAATGTGACGAGTGTTAAGAAGTTAACTCTCGCCATATTTAAGATAATGCAAGATTGTAGTAGAAAGTATTTAAAAAGTGTTGTAAGATTTAGAGACTACAGATTTCCTTATTGTAGATTCCACAATGTTCTGCATGTCTGACTCTTATTTCGATCCTGTTTTTACTTAAGATTTCATCTGAAGTGACTCTAGTTTTCTTCAATTTCAGTGTCATCATTCTTATTCTTATCCTGGCATGTGGCTGTTATGACACTTCCCCTCACCCCCACCAATTTTCTCCTCTGGCTACCAACAGAACATGCGTCCCAAGATTGATGGTTTCTGTCTCTCTTATTCCCTTTTATTTTATAATTGTTTTCGCCCTGAAGCGCTTCTTTATAACTCAAGCTCAAAATCAAATCTTGTGGGTGGTTGGCGGATGCTCTGGTGTGGTTTGCTCCTTCTTTCCTATCAAGCATCTATCGTCCTGATGTCTTCTTCTTTTTTGTGTTTGTGACTCTCTTGTAACACCTCTAATCTTTGGCACATATATGACCTTATTGTGTTGCAAGTGCCGTAAAACCATTACTAAGACTGAAATCAAATCTTGTGCCTCGCAGATGCGGTGTTTGTCCTCTGCTTCTCCCTCATCATGCTGTCTGTGGACCTGTGCAGCCCGCATGTCAAGAACAAAATGTCCAAGCGAGAGTTCATCAAGAACACATGCCGCGCGGTGTCTGAACTCAGCGGGGATTTGGCTGGCCACATGTATGACAACATCTACCTGGCTGGCCATGTAGCGCCCAAGGATTTCTCTTGATGACACCTTGGTGGCTCTGGGCAGCATCAAAATCTATATCATGACGTGTTGTGTGACTTTATATACTTGTCCGCCAGCTGGTTAAATGGTACTGAGCCCAGAAAGCCAAATTCTTTTTCAGGAGAGAGAAAGAACAGTTTAATTTTTTAAACAATTTTATGTACATTATGTACCCTTTTTTTGCTTTTCTTTTCAACATTTAGAATCTTGAATTTGGACTGAATATTTAAAAAAAAACATGCAACCAACCAATACCACGGATTCAGAGACTGCAATAAAAGATTTTTCCGAATTCTGGGCTCAGTACATCTGAACAGTTGGCCGATTATATAGACCACAGTGTTAACTTATTATCTGAAATATAAATCAAGCCTTACAGAGATGTAATCGTGTATCCGATATTTGTATCAATACAGATTATATTGTTTATGAGTATATAGACATTGAGTGATGATTTTTATTTATGTGAAAAGATCATAAGTCTGCGGTAAGACAAACTTGGGTATGTTATTTCAAAACTAATTTCATTGTATTTTTTAAAAAAGGGCTGTGAACATTGTTTATTCTGAAGTCACTTTCATGTGAACACATGGATGTGAAGGATCATGATCTCTCTACTCTGAAGTTGGATTCGGCCTTCTGAGGTCTACTTTTAGTAGTGACAGTTTTTTTGGCGAGTGGTGGTAAGGGAGGCTAGATATGATTTCAGTTTTGGTTGTGAATTTTAGTTAAGACTAAACTGTTTTGTTTTCGGAATTTGTCACCCGCTGAGTCAGAGTACATGCTGAATTGGTGCAGTAGACAAAAGTATTTTTGCTTATAGTGCTAGTGAAACGCTGTGGAGAAAGCATAGAATACGTCCGAAGAAATATTCAAAATGAGGCGTTGGCTGTGAAGGATTCTGTCGGTGTATTTAGAGGGATAGAGGCTTGCTTTTGTACTAAAGTTTTGGAATAATTATCTCCCACCCAGTTTTCTTGAAGACTCATGAAAATTTTACTGCACCTTTAGTCTTTTTTAAGCTTTTGTGTTAAATTCAAATATTACTGTCAATGATAAAAGTATTGATTCAATTTTGCAGTATTTATAGCCTATATTAGGTCAGTCTTAGAGGCAGGGTGTTGGAATTGACTCGTATCTGCAAAGCTGTTGTTATAAGATGATTTAGGTTATTGGTAGATGTCAGTCTGAATCTGTGTATAACCCCTTGACTGCCAATTGTATATGAACCCAACATGTTAAGAAGTATGTGAAAGTGCACAAAATGTTACGTGCCACAATCTTTGTCTGTTTTTTGCTTGCATGTAATAAGAGACAAGTAAGTACAGCTATATATCGAAAGAGATCGAATATTAGAGAGAGAACAGACCGACATAATTATTACTGTTGAAATTGAAAGTTGGAGATAAATCAAAAACGCCATTATCTTCTTCCTGGTCATCGCCATATAATTACGATCACTGTTGTTATTACTCTCTTCAAGATATAGATCTAGTGGATTGCTGAAGGAGGTCAAATCATTGTTGTAAACATCTCGGGGGGGGATGTAAGGGATGGCTTCGTACTTTGACCTTTCTGGAGAGGAGTAAACTATACTGCAGCAAATGAGTTGTTCGTAATAAAAGCTTAATGAGTGCTACTGTCTGTCTCGCAAACTGAATTCTGAAAAAGGTGACTTGCTTAACTTTTTTTTTATCAGTCATCAAGCCTGTGATTCCTGTCTACTAGTCTTCTTACATATCTCATCTCATGGCTAAAAGTATGGTTTCAAGGGATGTCATTCTGTGCTGGGTGGTTGACAGGTGCTCTGCTGTAGTTTGCTCAAACATGTATCTTCATTGCTTCTCCTCTTCCTTTTCTTTGTATGTCACTTCTCTCTGGAAGCACTTCTCATCTTCGTCACTTATATGACCTATTTGTGTTGCAAGTGCTCTAAAACTCAAACTAAGACGAAACTAAAACTTATTCTGAGTATTGCTGAGTATTGAGAAGTCATTTGTTGCTGAGATTTCATGGAAACAAAAGGACAGGTTTTCAATGACATACGAAACATGTCCAAAGAACTCTGGGTAGCTATAGAAACGTAAGAGTTTTGTGCAGAGCAGTCAAGGGGTTAAGGGAGTTGTGCTTGTCATTTCTAGTAGACTCCCCGAGCAGAGCTTTTGTTTGCTGTGACTTGATTAAAATGGTGTGTTTAGAATCACAGATTTTTCAATTCTGTACAATGCGAGAATATCAAGTATGTTTTTTTTTTCAGGTTGCTCACATGATCTTTATAGGGCTCTCACTGTATAATGTTTTGGAAATTGGTATGTTGTTCTGTGACCTTTTACTGATGAACTGAAGATTTTATGATTAGTGTCAGTATCAGAGGCCATTCATATGTCTGCTTCTCTCCCAGTATACTTATTGGTTTGTAAAAACTTTCTAAAAAATTGATGGTGTCATGAATAAAATTTGAGTTCTTGTCAGTTATGTTTGCTATTCCATACATAGTAAAACTACATTTACTCTTAGGGCAGAAAGTTTTGTTTCATGATTAGAAATTGGGAAAACATAAAAAAAAATCAGCATTTTCAGACTTTACTCATAACACCATGGATGTATGTGAGAGAGATAATGAATGGCCTTTGGTACTTTTGTTATGTGGTGCTACACCCAGACTTGAATCGTTCAGCTTGTTGCTTTTCTTTCTTGTTTCAGACTTGCATGATCTGAATCTGAATCTTGTGTGCCAGTTCATGCACAACTATTGTCGTGATGTAATACATTTGCCCTTCCGTCACTGCAGACCTCTTATATCAAAATAACTTTGCTTGCCATTCAAACCATCGTCATCTTCATTACTGAAAGAATTTTAGAAAAATGTACTTGTACACTTAACAGGTCAAGATCAAAAGAGCACCATTTTGTGAATAAGTTAAGACCACAGATTATTTATGCATGTCCATTGATTAATATTACTTTTCTTGGACTTTCAACTTTTTATTTCTTTTTGGTGAATCCGAGAATTGTCTAAATATAATGACAAGTAAAACAGTGGCATGGATGCTACATTTCTAAAATGTTTATTATCATGTTTTACATATTTTGAAGTTTTTGTAATTTTTTGAGAGAAAAGAAAGTGGAAGAAACTGGAGTTTTTGTTAAGCTTCTTTAGCAGAATAATGGTATGGAATGAAAAAAGAGTCTTCTCCCTGGTTTAAAAAAATTTGTTTTGTCTCCCATATTATGCAAAGGTGAAAGGTAACAATTTCAAGGGATTTTTATATTGAGCTCAGGTTTTGAAAAGTTTCAATTAAAGTCAATTACAGTTTCATGTAAGCTTTCTGTTTCGCCATTGATTAAAACAGTGCATATATGTAACTTTAAAAAATGCTATAATTTGTACATGAAGCGCTTTAAAAAATATATGTAAAGGGTGAACTGGCACAGAAAATCAAGGAATTAATTGTATTAATAACAGACACTAAAAATATTGAAGTTAACTTTTTACTTGTAGTCTCAAATATGCATTCCATACTGTTTTGTTGACTTGTCAAGTTTGTATTACTGGACTATTTGTATAAATGGATAGGCTTAATTGTCTATGGAATGCCCGTTTGCAGGTTCATTTTATTGGTTATAAAAAAAATAGAAAGTTAATTGTTTTTTTTATGCTACTAATTTATCAAAAATTTCTTTTTTCATAAGAAACTCCTTTCATGATCCTGTTAGATGCGTTTGATCTTGGATGTTTGTTACCTTCTCTGCCTTAGGACTCCTCTTCACTGTGCTAACCTGCATGCTCTGTTATCTTTGTGGGGTTTTTAAAAATATTTTTTTTTCTTGGATGCGTTTTGAAGTTTTTGCATAATTAACACAAGAACAAGAGTTACCTTTGTTTATTGATTGATATTGTGAGTATTTGTTTATTCCTTATGCAAATATTTTTGTCGTTGAGTAATTTAAATATTTTTTATATTGTTCCCTGTTTATCTATCATCAGTTTTGTACATTCGATTGAACTAAGTATATAAGGAATAGCACCTTGGAGAATCCTTTATGTGAAGACCATTTTCTATGCACTCTGCACTCTTTTTCGTTTACAACATTTATGTTGCATTTAGATTTTTTTTTGGGAGGTACGGTTTTGTTATTAAGAGCTTGTCTGAGCAAGGAGCATGCCTCCAGATATGTTTTGAGTTGAGTTCTTTCTTGTCTGTCTTGTCCTCACATATGTTGACCATGTACTTAAAGTGATTTTGAATTTTGCTCCATGCCTCCTCTTTCAACGCTCATTGTGAAGTTGTCAAGAAAGGATGCATTGTTTATTTAAAAAAAAAAAATCTGAGCATCCAGATTTTTTTGAGCTTGTGATGTGGTTGTAAGGTTTCTATTTTCAGTGACAATACTTTTTGTTTTGTTTTTAGGACACATTGTTAGTTAGCCTTTTCAAATGTGTTGGCTGGTACAGTGTGTCTGTTTTTGACTCACTTTACGTATCTTTTTTTGGTGGGTGCTTGGCTGGTGCTCTGGTGTTGTTTGCACTTTCTTTCTTATCAAACGTCTATCATCCTTATCTTTGGTCCTCCTTTTCTTTATTCGTCACTGTTTAGTAACACCTATTCTTGGGCACTTTTATGACCTGTGTTGCAAGTTCTGTGAAACTCTTACGTTAACTAAAACTAAACTATCTCTTTAAAAAAAAATTATTTGAAGTTGGTCAGCCGATAAACTTGTTTAGAGAAATAGCCGCTGTATTAAGGTTTAGTGTATGGCACAAGAACATAGTTCAAACATATAGAAAATTATAACCAGTACTCAGTGATGATGGTGTACCTTATGCATAAGTTTTTAACTGCCTTTGAGTTGGACGTTACTATCGATCCAGCCTTTCTATAGAGTGAAGTTTTATACTTTTCTAAGATAGATAGCTTGTTGTGTCTTTATAATTTGTTTTGCGTATGAGAGTGGTGTGTGAGAGAAACTTGTTTTGTTTACAGAGATGAATGGTGTCATTGACATTTTTGTTTGTATGGGAAGCTTTGTTTTTCTCTCCGATCTTTGTAAGCTCAAAAGAAAAAAAGTTACAACGAGGTGTTGAGGGCTTACTGCTTTTTGTTGTGGACAGTTGTAGTTGTGCTTTTGAAATGTAAATTACAATGGTGAATTAATGAATTTGTTACACATTCATAATTTATTTGCGGGGAGGGCACAACTTTTCAGAAGCAAACTTACTGAGATGACTTTGAAAGTTGGGACTATTGATGAGATGTGCACCTACAAGAAGAGTTTTATTTGACTCTGAAAATCAGTGTGCATTTATTTATTGAGCTTTTAAAGGGCAGGTAAAAGTGAATTTCGTTCCGCACAGTTACTCAAATTGATGAGCGTGATGTTGGAACCTCCAGTTTTATTAGCCATAAGTGGATATGTTTCTGAGAGCGTGAGTTTATGTCGGGTTTCATTTTCTCATGGAGGCCCCTGTCCTCGGCTTTCACGACACACACTCCAGATGGACAGGGTATGTTTTCATGTCTGACCTCCCCAACGTCCCCCCCAACAAGCACGTTGGGTGGTGTTTTGACACATCGCTACCTCAGACTAACAACGTTCTGTCTGCTCAGTACCTAGTTTTGAGAAATTTGACGTCAAAGATTTTGAGTTTCACATGTCAAGCTTTTTCAAATGCAACTTTTTAAATATCTCGATGACAACTCAGAATACTCTTACAATTTTGATGGACACAACAGATCAAACATTTAGTTTCTGATCTGGTGGTCCCAGTAACTCAAAACAGCCAAAAATGACGGATAGAAGTTTGTAATTCTGAGGTTGCTACATTACTATTTTTCTCATTGTTTTCACCGCTGTGAATTGAATCACCGATACCAGTTTTTAAAAAACAGAAATTGATGTTCTAGATCAGTGCTTATCAATCTTTATATAACCAGCGCCCACTTTTGTCCATGCTAAGGGGTGAACATTTTTTTACAGCCCACCGACATGTATTTCCAAGCGGGACATAAAATAACAGCTGCCACTAGCAGGGTAATCCTCCAGGGCCCACCAAAATTACCAAAATTCACCGGTGGGCAATATAGCCCTCCCAGGTCGACTGGCACTGTTGTAGATCTATTGAGCAATTTTCAACTGCTTTCTATATTACTCAGAGAATTTTTATAGTTTTATTAAGTTTATAGTTTTATTATTGGTTTTACAGTAGGAGTATTTGTACAGCAATGATGGTTGAAAAGAAAGTCTAAAAATGTCCCTTTTTGTCGTTGTTAATCCTGTAGTCTTTGAGGGGGTATGCTCCGGCACAATGCTATATTAAAAAAAGTGGTCTTTAACAGTTGTTTGTGGAAAGAAGTTAAGCTCAGAGTTACTGTAGTTTGAGAGATTCAAAGGGCAGGTGCTGGACTTTTGTAGATGTGGTCACAAAGTAGGTTAGTGGTTTTTCTGGGTTGATGAAGCTTAGGTGATAGTTTAGAGGTATGTGCTGTCTTTGGAAGCTGAATATCCTTCTTCTCTTCTGTTGAGGGCTTTTGTGCTGTCAGTTTGGTTCAGCTCACCCATGTAGTTGTGAAGTGGTCTGCCAACCTGGCCTCTTGCCCATCGGTTCATCCATTCCTCTTTGCAGTTTTTTAAAATGATAATTTTTGTTGTGATGAGTGATGTTGGTTTGATTGGTTGTGCTAGGTGTGATTCTTTTTTTGGCTTGTCTGTCTGCTTTGTCATTGCTGTGAATGTTTGTATAGCTTTGTTAATCAAAAGAAAAGTGTAGAAATGTCCCTTAGCATCATCCTTCTCTGTTTCTATTGTATTTCCAGATGGTATGAATATTTCAGAGGGTGAAAAATTTGGTACTGAATCCTTTCTGGTCACTTTGTGAGTTGAACGAATTTAGGCTGAAAATTTTAAATACATGAGAAATAATTTTTTAAATTAGTTTGATCAAAAGTCAGATGCATATCGTGCCCTTTGATGGGAAAAGTGGGGGTTGTGCAGGAACGTGCAAGGGTCTTCATCTGGACAGGGATTTATTTATTATGATGTTTACAGATATCTCACTGTGTTAAACCTGATGATATGTCTTGCCCTGCATGTGTTTTGCCTTTGTTCAATGATGCAAGGGGCGGAATGTTTGCTCACCTTGTTTGTAGTGCTTTTATAAAACATTCTACAGTCTAGCATGCACATAGCGAAACTCACACATAGCGAAACACACTCATAATGTAGAGATTTTCAGGCCTGTTTTTTTTTTTTATAAACCTGTACATATATATTCGTTTTACTTAAAACAAATACATAGAGGGATTTATATGTACCGAGTATTTAAAAAAGATATCGCATCGTGTCAATTTCTCTATGTGTGTGCTAGATGGTATTTTTAAAAGTTTGATTGATGAAACCAGCTGTCTGCGAGGTGATGTTTTGTAAGATATTTTACATATCATTTCTTCAAAAGTAAATTACACATTCATAATAACCCCCCCTCTTTCCAAGGTTTAGTAAAACTGAGCTTTTTCTAATCAAGCAGCAAGTATGTTATGATGTGTACTGTACTCGGATGTCTTGTTATCACTCAGAAGAGTACGAGTAGAAGTTTTGTTATATATGTGTTTTGTTTCATGTTTTGTTTGTACTGTCAAACATTCAAACTTGATATTTTCTTGCTCTCTTGAATGTCTGCAAGAGGGAATGTTTCTTCGTGTAAGGAGAATGAGAATCATAAAGATAGGCCCAAGTTCAATATCTTCCTGTGGTTTTGTTTTGAAAGATGGTAGTAATAGTATGGTAGGATAACAGAATGGTACGTTCTTTTTTTATTCTCTAAACAAAGTGTGTACTACTGTTCCTTCCTTCATATCAAACAACTATCATCCTTATCTCGCCTCCTTTTTTATGTTTGTTACTCTCTGGTAACACCTCTAATCCTCAGCACTTATATGACCTTTTTGTGTTGCAGGTGCTGTAAAACACTTACTAAAACTAAACTAAATTAATTCCTTTTTTGTGCTAGCTGTATCGTATTTTTGCCACCAGTTTTATTGATTCTGTGGAGATAGAAAATAGAAAGCAGTCAGATTTGGTAAAAATAGTGAGTTGCTTAATAAAAGGACCCAGCTGAAGAGGTTTGATATCTTTGATTGTCAACAATTACTACCCCACCCTCGCCCTACGTACATACACACGCGCGCACATGTACACAATCACACACTTACACACACACTCATGCACATACATACACTCACATGCCCACACACTCACGAGCCCACTCACACACTTACCCATGTGGGTGGTTGACGGGTGCTCTGGTGTCGTTTGCTCCTTCTTTCCTATCAATCATCCATCTTCCTGATCTCTCCTCCTTTTTTTGTTTGTTACTCTCTATTAACACCTCTAATCTTCGGCACTTATATGACCTAATTGTGTTGCAAGTGCTGTAAAACTCTTACTAAAACTATTAACTCTTACCCATATGCACACACTCGAGCATACATGCATTCACATGCAAACACGCACACACACATGTGCACACACTCATGCACACGGCATACACACACACACACAAACACACACACACACACTCAAACAGACCTGCCGGCGCGCACGCACAACTCACACACACTCACACACACACCCACACACACACACACACACACACACCCACACACACACACATGCTTGCACACACACACTTGCGCATACACACATGACACATGCACACACACACTCACGCACACACATGCGCACACACACACACACACACACACACACACACACACACACACACACACACACACACACACTCTCGCACACCCACTCACACGCCTGCACACCCTACCCCTTACTGTACAAGTGCACTCTGACCATGACGATATTTCTTTCATCAGCTTAGAGCAAACAGTCAGGGCTGTGTGCGGCAATTGTTAGCTTCACAATCATTGTTTGGGAATCTGATGCCTTCTCGAATATTAATCCAAAGTTCTTAACAAAGAATGGTGAATACGAGGATCTGGGTTTTCAACTACATGTACATGTAGTTATTTTATGAGTACCCCTGGTCTGTAGATTATGAAAAGTTGACTGTTTTCTTTTTTTTTTTTTCAAAGGGGTGTTAGTTTTATGTCTTTCCCATTTCAGCTTATTTTAGGTATGTTTTCTTGAGGGTTTTCACAGATATGTAGTAAAACCAACACGAAAAGGGGGTGTTGTTATTTAAAAAAAATGTATTTCCCCATTTCAGCTTATTTTAGGTATGTACATCCTTTTTTAATGGAAGCAATCAGAAGTGTCCTGTGCTTATGTGAGCACATACCCGTATGCATATCATGGCCCAGCTTGTTAACTGTTTTAAGCCCTGAAGTCAAAAGTTTTTTCATAAGAAAGATTTAAACTGTTTCATTCTCTTAAAAGTCGTACCTACATTATAGGTATTTTTTCTTTTGCTTTTTTCGAATTTTGAAAAAATATTTCCTTTATCACATGCAATGTATAGGCCTGTCACTGTATAAGTAACTGCAATGACATTTTTTTTTCTTCAAAGTTTTGGGTTTTGCACATTTGAGCAGCTGGCCCGTGATATGTTTGTGCGTGCGTGTGCTTTGATAATAATATGTTGTTGGTACGCATGTGTTCATTTTTACGCTTGTTTGTCTGTTAATGTTTGTGTGTTCGTTCATGTGGTTTGTTTGTTGTCTGTCTGTCTATTGACGCCCGAAGCAAACTCTGTGATCTGAGAATTTAGCTCTTTGTGAAGAGTGCATATTGAAATAAAATAAAATAATTCTTACACCATCAAAGCATAGTTTTGTTTCTCCCCCCCCCTCCCCTTCTAGTGTTTAATGTGCATGTATTTCTCTGTTTTAGTATGGGTAGTTGGAGGGTGCAACTAGTAGGTCCTACTTATTTACTTTACCTTTGTTGTTTCTGTCTGTCTTGTCTCACATCCACCCCTTGGCGCTCATATAACCTTATGTTGTTGCGAGCGCAGTGAAACCTTACTAGTGGGTGGTTGGCGGGTGCTCTGGTGTGGTTCGCTTCTTTTTTCCTATCAAACATCTATCGTCCTTATCTCCCCTTCTTCTTTTTTATGTTTGTTACTCTCTTGTGACACCTCTAATCTTCTGGCACTCATATGACCTTATGTAGTTGCGAGCACCGTAAAACCTCTACTAAAACTAAACTAATACTTTACTAAAACTAAAATTTATCTTTTTCCAGCTCTAAATGACCTTTACTGGGTCGATGAGCTTATCTTGTCGATATTAAAGGATCCCACTCAGATTTGATCAGCGGGCTTCCAAATGTAGCCTAGCTCGTCACCAGCTGTATGGATCAGTCTGTCGTGGGTCATTTGGAACAAGATTAAATGATTGAACGTAAGTTTCTAGAAGAGAGAGAGAGAGAAAGAGAGAGAAAGAGAGAGAAAGAGAGAGAGAGAGAGAGAG